GGGACTTCTACAGCAATGCAAGCTTAAACACAAATCGGGTTGCATTAATAAGAACATAGCCAGGGGATTAGCTGAAGTGCTTATTCTCCTATAGCTGGCACTTTCAAGACTTGCATATGAGAATTTTGTCAAATTTAGGGCTCCCCAATATAAGAAAGACATTGTCAAAGTGGCAGAGTGAGTCCAGTGAAGGCCAACAAGATGGTTAGAGAAGTAGAGCACATGACATACAAGGACAGGCTGAGACCACTGGGCTTGTTCATTTAAATAAAAGAAGGTGAGTTAACAGCTAACGGCTGTCGTTACCATCCAGTGGGTGGAAACAGGGTGGAGCCAGACTTCTTGGATATGCATAGTGAAAATACTAGAGTAAATGAACAGAAGTTGCAGGAGGACAAATTCTTGATAATTGCAAGTGAAAAAAAGTCACAGTGAGTATGGTAAAATATTGGAAGAAGATTCCCAGAGAGGCTGTAAAATCTTCAACTCTGGTGACAGTCAAAACTTGATTGGACAAGACTCCTCAGCAACCTAAGTTCAATGTTAGATCTAATTTCAAAGTTGATCTGGCTTGAGGCCTTACAGTGCTGAGGGTTGGGGAGGGTCAGAGAAGGAAGAATTAGACCAGGTCACCTTCCAAGGCCCCTTCCAGCCTAAACTACTCTCTGCCATGCACCTTATTGTCATTCCAGCTTTTAGGAATGTCTTAGAACATATTTTTGAAAGCAAGGCTTGGAAGCTTGAAGATGTGTAACTTTTATTATGTTCTGATGAACCTATCATTACAATGAAGAACAGGTATCGATGGCTCACTGTCCATGTGGAAAATGGTGCCACATGTACTTCTGCAGGGGTGACCAAGGTTTGGTACCATATAATAATGTTATTAATTATCTGAATGATGGAACAGAGTGTGTGCTTATTAAAACCGCAAACAAGACTAAGCTGGAAGCAACTGTGTACATTGGAGGACAAAACTAGAATTCAAAATAATTCTGACAAAGTGTAGGAATGGTGAGGTAAAATAGGATGTTACTGAACAGACACAAGTGTGGGGCATTACTTTTCAAAGGCACACTAAATTGCACAAATACAGGATGTGGCTCATTCAGCTTGTTTGTACTTCTGCAGAACAGGATCCAAGGGCAACAGCGGATCACAAGCTGAGTAAGAGCCAACAATGTCATGTTGCAGCAATGAAAGCAAACAACACTGACATTTTTTCTTTAAAAGGTGTAGCCTGCAAGACGTGAAATACTCTTTCCACCCTACACAGAACTGTGAAGTTTCAACTGTAGTAGCCAGTCTAGTTTTAAGTACTATTTCAGGAAAAACGCAGAACAATTAACTCAAGACCATGACCTTAAACAGAAACCCTACTGGAATTCTGATGACAGCGTAATTTTGACTTGCTTTCTTGGGGCAACTGCAAATATCCAGAAATATATATTTTTCCCTGCTGTGTGTACACCCCTTCTTTTACAGTCATAGATTGAAATTATTAAGTCAATAGCAATAAAATATCCTGAAAGTTAATCCTAAACCAAAGAAAATTAAATAATATTTGCAACTTGAGGAAGAAGTGCACGATAGCTCTTTCTTTTCTAGATGATACATGCCTTTTCTTCTTCTTTTATATTTTTCCCTTTTTTTTTTTTTTTTCCAGAAAAAAAAACCACAAAAAAAACAACAACGGATTATCCTGAATAACACATTACTGGAAGACTACCAAAACTTGTACATCCCACCAACTATTATCCACTGTGCTGTTTCACATGAGTATCAGTAATATAGTCAGGAGCAATCTGAAGCCCTGCAACAGGGATTATAGATAGAGCCCTGGGAGTGGTGGTGAAGAACACAGGAAAGCAGATTGATTTTCATAAATCCTCCCATATAAAGGGGCTTGAAAGAGACAATTGAATTGGGAAAATTAATAGATGGTCACAAGAGTGGTGACACAGCCAGGGCTTTGGCTACTTAGACCAAAGGACTCTCTGAGAAACCTGGTCTCCTAGGGGCTGATGGGGATCATCTCTCCGAGAAAGGGGAGAGCACCTTTGGCCATAGGCTTGCCAGTTTAGCAAAGAGAACTTTAAAGTAAAGTTGCAGAGGGAGGGGATCCTCAATCCATCCTACTGCCACCACTTTGAGACCAGTGCCACCAATAGATGCCTTGGGTCTGGAGGATTACAGGCCAGCAGAAGAAGACCTGAAATGCAGGGGAATTGAATCCTAGCCAGCATGACATCCTGGCCTCAAAATTGGAAAGATACAGATTTGATGACTGGATCACTCAGTGAATAAAGAATTAGCTGGATGGTTGTACTCAAAGAGTAGTGGTCAATGGCTTGATGTCCAAACGGAGACCAGTGATGAGTGGCATTCCTCAAGGGTCAGTACTGAGACCATAGTTGTTTAACATCTTTGTTGGTGACATGGACAGTGGGATTGAGTGCACCCTCAGCAAGTTTGGTGATGATGCCAAGATGTGTGGTGTGGTCAACATGCTGGAGGGAAGAGAGGCCATCCAGAGAGTCCTTGACTGGCTTGAGAGAAGGGCTCATGCCAAGCTCAGAAAGTTCAATATAGCCAAGTGCAAAAACCTGGGTCAGGGCAATCCCAAGCACAATTACAGGTTTGGTGAAGAATGAGTCATAGAATCATAGAATGCCAGGTTGGAAGGGACCTCAAGGAGTCAACCTTTTTAGGCAATAATATAGTTTAAGTGAGATGGCCCAACACCCTGTCAAGCTGAGTCTTAAAACTGTCCAATGTAGGGGAATCCACCACTTCCCTTGGGAGATTACTCCAATGTCTAACTGTTCTCATGGTGAAAAATTTTCTTCTGGAATCCAACTGCAATCTCCCCAGGAGTAACATGTACCCATTACTCCTTGTCTTTTCCATGTGACTCCTTGTAAAAAGGGAGTCTCCATCACAACCCTGAGGAAAAGGAGGTGGGGGTGTTGGTTGATGAGAAGCTCAACATGAGCCAGCAACATGCACTTGCAGCCCAGAAATCCAACCATGCCCTTGGCTGCATCAGAAGAGGCATGACCAGTAGGTCAAAGGAGGTGATTCTCCCCCTCTACTTCACTCTTGTGAGACCCCACCTGGAGTACTGTGTCCAGTTCTGGAGCCCCCAACACACAAAGGACATGGAGCTGTTGAAGTCATGAAAATTATCACAGGGCTTGAGCATTTCTCCTGTGAAAACAGGAGAAGACAGCTGGAGTTGTCCAGCTTGGAGAGGAGAAGACTCCAAGGATACCTTATAGCAGCCTTCCACTACCAAAAGAGGGACTACAGGAAAGCTGGAGAGGGACTTTTTACAAGGGCATGGAATGATAGGACAAGGGAAAATGGTTTCATACTGGAAGAGGAGAGATTTAGGTTAGACATAAAGAAGAAATTATTTAGTGTGAGGGTGGTGAAGCACTGGAACAGGTTGCCCAAGGAACTTGTGGATACCCCTTTCCTGGAAGTGTTGAAGGCCAGATGGGGCTTTGAGCAACCTGGTCTATTGGAAGGTGTCCCTGCCCATGTAGGGGGACTAAAACTAGATGATCTTTAAAGTCCCTTCCAATACAAAGCATTATATAACTCTATTATTATTTTCATTTCACAGAAAGCAAACAAGCAACTAAATAAATCCCCTTGGATAGATCCTGTGCTTCGCCTCACGAAACTTCTCTGATGCCAGTTGCTTTGCAGTAATATAATGAATATGTTAACTTTGTGTTTGCTTTTCTTTTAAAAAATACTTATAATGTTATAGATATAATAGCTAAATTTATAACTTAGGAATATAATAATTGAATCATTGTACAGCCCAAGTTGGAAGTGACCTCCAAAGATCATCTAATCCAACATTTTGTGGGAAAGAGAGCCTAGATGAGGCTATCTAGCACCCTACTGACTTGAATCTTGAAAGCCTCCAGTGATGGGGACTCTAGCACATACCTGGGGAGGCTGTTCTAATGAATGATTGTAAAAAATTTATTTCTTATTTTGACTCTCCCAGTGTAACTTATACCCACAGCCCCTTGTCTCCTCCATGTGGGTCCTTGTGAAAACAGTCTCTGTCCTCTTTGTAGCTGCCCTTTAAATACCCTACTACCATGGTGGGGTCACCCCTGAACCTTCTCCATGGAGAAAAGATTTAACCCTTTCAGCCTTTCCTCACAGAGCAAGTTCTCCAGCTTTTTGATCATCTTCGTGGCTCTCCTTTGCACCTTCTCCAGTCTGTCCACATCTTTCTTGAATTGTGCGGACCAGAAGGAGACAGAGTACTCCAGGTACAGCCTGACAAGCACTGAGTAGAGTAGGAAAATGACTGTTA